GAAAAAAAAAAAGGCAAATAAGCCAAGTCACCTGCTTCCTGATTGCTAAGAGAGGCATTGGTTCCTGGTCCTTAGGCCATGGAGACACCATGTTTTCCTTGCCATGAACAACACAAGGAGGGAGAGAAGAGTAGATACCAAGTATTTGCATTGAGGAGCCAGGAGGAGGCAAAGAATTATTCAAAAGAGGTACTGTTGATGTAATAATCTGCAAAAATTTGGCTATTGCTTTGATTTTAAAAAAATTTAAAGGGGCAGCTAGGTGGCACAGTGGATAGAGCGCCAGCCCTGGAGTAAGGAGGACCTGAGTTCAAATCCGGCCTCAGACACATAATATTTCCTAGCTGTGTGACTCTGGGCAAGTCACTTAACCCCAATTGCCTCACTTAAAAAAAAAATCTATATATCTATATATCTATAGATATATAGATATATATAAAGCAGATTTAAATATCTCCTTCTTTGTAAAACTCTGGTTTTTATAATACATTTTAGAAAATAATGTTAATTTCTATACCATAAAAGGCAGTGGGGTAAAGTGGACAGAAGTGGTCTTTGGAGTCAACTCCTACATAAGAAAGTACTGATGATGTGACCCTAGACAAGCCTTTTGATGTTTCAATGCTCTAGGCAACTTCTCAGACTGTCTAAGTTATAGAATGGTTGCTGATCTTTATTCAAAGGGAGCTTTCTATCTTGATATTACAGATTGGAGCAAAAATGGCATGTACATACATGCATTACAAACACACATGGCTTATTTCAAGGCTAGCATAGGGATTGAAGCATATATACTATAGAGGTTGATCTTTAAATGTTGAAGGAGTAGATATTTTCCCCATCAAGAAGACACCATATTCTAAATATGTCAAATAAAGCTAAGAGCTTAAAAACTGATATAATAAAATGTCAAGTACATTGCAAGTCATGAAAATTAATTAAAAATTATCTTATTATTACATACAATTGTATAATATATTAAAATTATTAAATAAAAGATTATGAGAGGCAGTTTCTAAAGAACCCTGGATCCTAGTTCTTCTACATATTCACTATCTGTGTGACCTTGGGAAAGTCACTTCCTCCCTAAGCTTCAGTTTCCTCCTCAGGAAAATGAGGGCATTGGATTAGAAAACCTCAAAAGTTCCTTCCTGCTTTATTTTCTTTGAGTCTATGCTGATTCTCTGGCTTGGTGCTAAAATTCAGTTTCTATTTTAGAACTGTATCCAAATAAAAAATCAAAGTGCCCACCATATGGGCTTAAACACAACTGAGTATATACATAAGTACTTCATGAAGGCTATGATGATTCATACTGTTTCTGCCCTCAAACCATAGATTCTAAAGCCCTTTGAAATTTAAGAGATTTTGGAGAACACTTTGATGAGCATATAATCTGGATATATTCATACAGAATACAGTACAATCTATACATCTTGATGAGAGTAATTCCTTTGGGAGATTAGGAAATTTGGTTGTTACCATTGTGAGCCCTCCCCAAAACATCAATTAGATCATCACTGGAGACTTTTCTGCCTATGAAGAGCATTACCAACCAGGAATGCTCAGAGTCTGCATCCTAAGAAAAGCTATTAGGATGTCATGGACTAATCAAAACACTGCACCTCCAACAAACCTTTATTAAGTTGTCCAAGCCAGTGGTGTCAAACTCAAACAGAAATGGATCCCTATGGGCCACATACGATCTGCAGTCAGCAGGGAGTTTGACACCTTTGATACACAATGTACAAGTCACAAGGCAATCAACAACGAAACCATGAAAACATACAGAGCTTGTCCGTAAGTAAAAGCTGTAAAGGCATGAGATATATATACAAGCATAACACAAATGAGAATGAGGAAGGTATGAAAGATTGAAGAGGGGAGAATATCTTTCACCAGGGGACGGAAGGGAAAGTGCGTGGACAGACATGAGGGAAGACATCACGAAAGAGGAAGCCCCTGAGGCTAGATGCAGAGCTAGGAAAAGATTTCCATAGGTAGAAATATGGAAAGGAGATAGACAAGAGAACAGGCAATATAAATTTAAGTCATTTCTATTTATCCATCTATAGATACAACTACATCTATAGATAGAAAAGAAAACCACAAGATGTTTCCATTAACCTCTCTGTGCCTCAGTTTTCTCATCTCTAAAATGAGGGGATTGGATTTGATGGCCTCTAAACTCCCATCCAGTTCTAAATTGGTGATCCTATGTCTCTCTGTGTAATCACTAACTCATTTTAAGTCAAGGTGACATTTTGGCATCCAGAGCCAAACAACCGAAACTAACCTTGATTCACACCTTCACAGACAAGTAAAGACAGGTAACTTGCACCCGCAAAGACATAAGTAAAACTCCTGAAAGGAGATACTGGCTGCTACAGTACCTCCGGATAACATCAGTTTGCCTACAGAAGAATGGCCAAAGGTAAAGTAACTTGCACAAGGAAAAAAAAATTTTTTTTTAAAAATATCTACAACAAGCAAAAGACTCTTAGCTGGAGACAGACAGGTGACATAGAAGCCCATCAGATGTGGTGGTATTTGACTTTGACAATGGGACAGAGGGGAAGAGAAAGATGAAGAAGAATGCCCAACCAGAAACGGAGTTAAGTATTTAGACCTGTGCAGCAATCTGCCTCTTGAAATGTGAAAACTTGCTTCTCTGAAAGACCTATTTCTCAATAAACTGTACAGGCGATAAGAAGATTGTCATTCAAAACTGCACCAGTGACATTGCAGGACAGATCATATGGCATTTAACACTTCTTACCTTATCACTCCTAAGTTGCTATCTTCGACGGAACTATTATTTTACTCTGTCACACAAACTTCTTTGAAAGGAAATTTAAAAATATCCCAAATTCAGCAGCAACCTTCATAATCAACCTAGATACTTTAAAGTAACACACATGCCCACCAGAGAGCGCTATATTGACAGATTCTCCTAATGTCTCACTGTTTGTCGCCCAGATATGAAACTTCAACCCAACAAAGAAAGAAAAGTGCCGATATAAATTCCAAACACAATACAATTAGATGGAAAATATTTTCATTCAGGTAGCAATAGGGTCACTACTATCCATAGCACTGCAAAGTTTTACCTCCTGTATCCACTCCTCCAACCTCTTTTATCTCTTAACCCGTCTTTTGTCCATCTTGAATGTTCCAGGAAAGCTCTATTCCTCCTCATGACCCAAGAATGCTCCAGTTACTCCGATCCATTACCTGAAAGAGTGCTGTGAGGTAGGTAGTTGGTACACACCAGCTCCTCTTTCCTAAGTCAAAGTAAGGGTTGGGAAGGTCGAATGACTCGTAGATGGCTAACAAACAGGGCAAGTATAACTAGTGAAGCTGAGACTAAAACTGAGCTCTGCTGTGCCCCTTCTGCAGCACCCTAGCGCTCTTCTACTACTACAACGACCTCAGCCGTAAATGACTATCATGATGCCATTCACTACAGTCCCAAATGACTACCTTTTCTACCTGGCCCTTCATGCTCTGCTCCATCCAACTTTAACTGTCTCTTTCCCCTGATATCAACCAAGGACTCTTTCCTTTCTTAGAGAGTTCTCTATCATTTTCATCCTACTATCTTTTATCATCATTTTCTCTCCATTGAACTCCCTTCTCCCCTTCAAAGACTAGCTTGACAAAAAAACCTCCTGAATAAGCCTTTTTAAAGAGCAACAAGGGCGTGGACTCACCTCTAATCCCAAGTCATTGCTATTTCCCCATACATTCTGCAATCACTCCTTCTATCATAGGATTCCTGAGACTGTGAATTGTCTCAAAGGCAGGGACACCTCACCTTCTGAGTCAATAATTTTAGAGCTAACTGGATTCTAGATGCACCTAAAGTTTACTTTTTTATTTGAAAGGTCTTCTAAGAAGAATTAAAGTAACAAAAATAAGAGGAACCTGAAACACACTTCTAAAAGCTCTTTCAAATAATATTGGGAAATGAATTTTCTTTTTACTCCATACTGCATTAAACTGTTTTAGTCCCATTTTCTTCCTTCCTTTCTTTCTTGTGACATTCAGGGTACTTTTTATGGATTAAGAAAAGAAGCTTCGCTCTTTCTTGGTATTTGGAATCTATGGCACACAAATGTAATAGAATATTTCTGAGTCATAATGAAAATGATGGATTAAAAAAAATTCAGAGGAACAAGTGAAGATTTGAAGGAAGAGAGAAAAGGACAAAAACAATGACAGCAATGATCTGAATAAAGTCAACATGGAGAGGCAACAAAACTGGTAAATACACTAATCTACAGTTAATATCATCCCGTCAAAGTTAAAGATCACAACCCTCCTTTCTGTTAATAACCAAATTCTTTTCTTGTAAGAAATCTGGTGTCAAAACAAAAATACATTTATAAGACAACTAAAGGGTACTGTGGTTAAAAAAAAAAAAAAAAAGAAAGCTTAAACTCCCTGCTCGAAGCCAAAAGGCTTCCTGGTAAAGGACACTATGATACAATGTCTCCTATCAACGCAGAGTTAAGCATGCTTCAATACCTTACTACAAAGTCTCCTTTCAACCTGATTGTCCTTGTGTTTAAGTCGAGCAATTAACATCAATAAATTCTCAAGCAAAGAATTCAGGCAAATCAGAAAGGAGATACTGCAGATTAGTGTGCAATTACTTTTAGCATATCACATCAGCAAGAACAGAACTGGAAGGTGTTGGACCTAAGGGAAGAAACGTGGTCACAGCCTGAAAACACTCCTGTGGAAAACGGGATGAACTGTCAGGCAAACACATGGCTCTTTAGAATGTAGGACAGAAAAGAATTGAGGGTTTGGAAAAGGGGGAAGAGTAGTCACAGGGTCACCCTCCAATGCTGCCCAAAGATTCCCTCACAGGGAAGGAGAGGTAGTCATGGAGAATGCTTGCCTCAGCTCCTCATAGAAGTTTAAGACGCTATCCTTTGGGGCTGAGGTTGGGCCAAGGAAAACAGAGGGACAGATAGATAGAACGCTCTTACCAGTGTGTGTGAGCATGTGTCGCTGGAGGGAGCTGGCCCATGGAAACACTCGGGGACAGTAGGGACAGCTGATCTTTTGTAGGCAGGTAGAATATGAATTCTGCTTCCCCCTCAGGAGCTTTTCTTCAGGACCATCCTGCTCATCCTCACTAGGCACATTCTGGTCAGCGGTGATGGCTTCCTCTTTGACATCATCTTCAGCCGACTGCAGGAATGGACTGAACTTGTTGGCATCGGTGGTGGCCAGCATCTTCTCAATGCTGGCAAACTCTCCGCTGGACTCCAAATCCACACTGCCACTGTTTGCCTTGGGCCGGTTCTTGGTCCCTTTCTTTCTACCCCTCTTCTTTGATAGACCAGCTGGGCCCTGCTCCATGGAAGAGGTAGCACCAGGACTGCTGGCCTGGAGAGACGGGTCACTGGGCTCCTTGGGGCTTCCTGTGGTGGCAACGCCGGCAGCCTTCTGCTTTGTGCCTCCCAGCTTGTCAGAGACGATGGGATTGTTGGTGGTCTTGGGTGTGAGGTCCGACACCTCGGTTTTCAACAAGGCAGGGGCTGATGACACAGATGAGATTATCTGGGCAATGGAAGCCAGAGGTGGCAGCTCCTTTGTCACAGGAGGCTTTGGCAAGAGTGGGGGTGGCTTGGGCCGAAGAGGGCGCAGCAGGGCTGAATTGCTCAGGAGGGCCGGGGAGATGATAGGGACTGCAAGGTGGAGGGGGGCCTGAAGCGCCTGGGCAGGATGTGGAAGATTGGTGGTGGCAGTGGCAGTCGCTGCTGTTGTCACAGCTGGCTTCTCCAAACTCCCATTGGCTCCTAAAGTCACAGGCAGGGTGGGGCAAGGTGGCGGACAGGCATAGAGCTGGTCGCTAGAGCTGGGTCCTGGCTCTTGCTTTTTGGCTTCGCCTGGCACTGTTGTATCCTTATCCCGCCGAAGGCTCTTGGGGATGGATAGATCAATGGGTTCCATGGAACAGTCATAAGGAGAGGAACCAAGGAAAGAGGAGTTCTCTTGCTTCACTTGGACCAAGGCCAAGCCCTTTCCTTTCTGTGAGAAGTCAAGAGGCTCATTGAAGTCCATCGAGAAGTTGCTTGCAGGTTCCAGCTTGATGGAGATGTGGGAAGGCAGGGGCTGCTGAGTAGCCCCTCGAAGGAATCCATTCTGGGGCTCCAGGAAGGCAGTGAGGGGCTTTCGATCCCCATAGGCAACACAGCCACCATCCTCGAGTAGCATTGAGGCCTCTGGGGCCTGGGCTTCCCGAGGACCCCCACCACAGTCCACTGCAAGGACATAGTTCTCGATCTCTCGCTCTTGCACATGAAGGTGCTGTTTGAGGATATGGTGAACACAGTTTCGCTTGGTGGAGAAGGCAGTGCCACATTCCTTGCACTCAAAGGGCTTCCGCCCCTTCTGGCAGCCCGAGGCCCCTCCACTGTGGGTTCTCATATGGATACGCAGGGCCCGGTAGTGCTTCAGGTCCTCACCACACAGGCGGCACACAGTGTCCGGGGAGCAGAAGGCATCAACCATCTCAGCTGCATTGCTGGAAACATACTCGATGTTCTTCTCGATATCCTTCCGGGTGGCTTTGAGGTGCTTTTTCCTCAGGTGCCGCTCACAATTGGCCTTCACAGTGAAGGGATAATGACAGATCTTGCAGATGTATGGTCTCTCGCCACTGTGCGTGCGCAGGTGCCGGATGAGGGCGGCTTTATCGGCAGCGATGTAGTCACAGATGTTACACTGATAAGGGGAGATACCCAGGTGGGAGCGGACATGAGCACGTAAGACACCTGAGAAGGCAAACACTTGGTCACAAAAGCGGCAGGGGTAAAGGACCTTGCGCATGGCTTGGGTCTTCTTGCTGGCTGCTCCAGCAATGATGGCCTTGAGCTCCCCCTCAGTCACTTCTTGCTTGATTTTGGCCTCCATGTTCAAGGGCAGCAGGGCCTCGATGATGCTGTCCTGCTCTAGCTGAGTCTTCATCTCTGGCTGACCCGATGCCTCTCCCCGAGGCTGCAGGAAGAGCTGTGAGGATGGATTCAGCTTGGCCCCGGACTTGGACTGCAGCAGGTGGGAGTTGGAGGTTGCTTCCACAGAGTTTTTGATCAGCCTCAATGGTGGAGGGGGAAGGCTAGGGCTGATACAGCCTGGTGAAGCCTGCTGGGCGCTGATCAGGGGTGGGGGGGTAGAGGTGGCAACAACCGTCCGAGGAGTGACCAGGGGCTTTGGCTTCAGCGGGGGCATATGTTTGAAAATCGACTGCATGGGGGCAGCAGGAGCCTTAGAGAGTGGTGGAAGACTAATCTGGGGAGGAACTGAGGACGCCATCTTCAGGATCTGCTGGATGTCTGCCAGCTCAATGGCAGACTCACTGGAAATGGGTTTGACAACAATACTACTGTCAGGCTGGATGATGAATCCCTTCTGGAAGGGTTGCAGGGACAGATGCTTCATGTTTTCCTTTGTAGGAGGGAGGACTGTTAGAGAACCCCCCAGGGAAGCTGCACCAAGAGGGGACAAAGCGAGCAAGCCGGTGCTGCCGGGCTCCTGAGGTAGGCCGCTCTTCAGGGTTTCGAGCTGTATTGCTTGGTTGTCATCTAGCACGGGCTCCTCCTGGGGGGTAGGCTGGAGGTCTTTGGTGGACTGTAGGCCCAGGGCTGCCATGAAGGCTTTCTGGTCGGGGCTCTCATCAGTCAAGGACTTTGACTGTAACTTGTGCTTTTCACTCCCCTGATCTCCTACTATATGGGTTTGCATGTGTAGTCTGAGTGCAGAAAGCATGGGGAAGGCCTTATTGCAGGTCTCACAAATAAAACGATGAAATTCACTGATGCATCTTCGCAAATTTGTTTCACACCAGACCTGCAAGAAGCATGGAAAAAAAACAAGTCATAGTTGGGAGGACAAAACTAAAGAGAATCAAAACTCAAGTAGGCCTGAAGGGGAAGAGGGAACGATGAATTTTACCTCCAATCTAGATGGATTTTTAAAGGATGCACATTTTTTTAAATTTTAGAATGTTTCTTAATCCTTGGCTACCATGACAAATACTGTATGTATATACTGTCAGAGAACGTGGGCTAAAATCCTGGTTGGTGATTAGTACTACTTGTGACTGCGGCCAACTTCTGAGTTTCAACCTCCTCGTTTATTAAATGAAGGGATTGAACTCACTGATCTTTAAGATCCCTTTTTAGCTCTGAATTTATGATTCTACTAATAAGGAGAGACCTTTTTCTTAACCCCTGTACTGAACTTCTTGATATACTGAGTAGTGGGCTGAGACAGGGCTCCTGCCCAGGATATATGATCAGCCAACTGGCAAAGCTCAGGAAAATGACTTAATTCTTTGTGCCTCAATCTGTTCATCTGGAAAATGAATAGATTGGAATAGGCGATCCCTAAGGCCTCTAAGAGTTTTCTGACTGACCCTTTAGTGTTTCTCCAAATAAACTTCATTATTGTTATTTTAGTTAGTTCTATAAGTTAGCTGTTTGGTAGTGTGATTGACATAGCTCTAAGCCCATTTAAAATTTACATAGTACTTGGCACAGCCTAGTCATGAAAACTGAATACCTCTCCAACTATTTTGGAAATCTGGTGACCTCTGGATCCCTTCTCAGAAAAAAAAATGTTTTTAAATGCATAAAACAAAACATGCAAGATTACAAAACAAACCAGTTCTATTGCAATAGTTATCAAGAGTAAAAAACAACAACAACAACAAACCCACAAGTTCACAGAACCTGGGTTAAGAACTACTGCAATAGAGGGATAAGAAAACAGCAAGAAGAGAGGGAGAATGGATTTTAGCTGCAATTGAGATGCACTGTTTTAAAACTATGAACACTTAAAAGATAGTGGGAGCTCAAGGAAAAAACATTATATTCAGTTTACATTATTATAATATTATTATAAGTTCTGATTTTCATAAATCTGTAAAAATATTTGCAGGGTCTATAAAAGGTTTATCTTATCCGCCCCCCCCCCCCAAAAGTTTCTAAAGAAACAATGCAAAGTTTATTTTCTTAGAAGAAAGGTTCCAAATAAACAAATTCCAAGATTGAAATTAAAATTTTAAATGAACCCCTATTTCTTAATTTACTTAAGAGGGAATACCTGAGAAATGCGAGGAAATTTCCTACAAGAGAAGTCAGTGAATCCTAAATCATGGAAGCCAGCAGGAATTGAAGGATTGTTCTGAATAAAAGGCTTTCCGGTTGGGTCTCTTGGAAATTGCTTGTGGATAACTGCATTATGACGCAGCAATCCTCGATGTGTGCGAAAAGTAATGCAACAAATGTCACACCTGAAGGCAAAAGAGGAAACACATTATAAGCCTTTCAAGTCAACGTTTTCAAGTTACATGTAAGCTTTCACATAGCCCTGAGAACCCTACTTTATGTATTGCCTTGCCAGTATTTTCGTGTTTTTTAGAATTCAAAAAAAAAAAAAAAAGATAGTGTGGAATATATGGTAACACTACCTACTTGTCTGGTTCATTACTACTTTATACCAACATTTTCTGTACCTTAAAACTGCAAGAACTGCAAAAAAGCACCACTGATGTGTACATCAAAGGGGAGTAGACAATAGAAAGGCAGATGAGGATCTAAATGCCCTGTCACATTTCTGACCTGTTCTCACTGAACCACAAAACGTACATGGATAATTTTATGGATTTTGGTGTTTTCCTCTTTTAACTTTCTCCGTAAATGTTAATGCTGAAGAAGACAGACATCAATTCAAAGATCAAGGCAATCAAGTCAACAAGAGGGATATCTCACATTTAAAAAGATTTGGAATTATTCTCCAAATGACCTGGCAGCAAGTGATAACAACAAACAATAATGCCATTGCATTAATTCAAATTAAAATAATGTAATCAGATTCTGTCAATGCGGCTCTTGATATTGTCTACAGAAGGTCTTCATTTGACTACCTAATGAAACCCTGTCCAACCTATAAGATCCAGTTTAAACCCCACCTCCTCCAAGAAGGCTTCTTTTCCTGCTCCCTTCAGCACATATTGTTTTCTGCTTCCTCTAATTTCTTTTCTTTTCTTCTTTTTTTTTTTTGGGGCGAGGCAATGGGGTTAAGTGACTTGCCTAGGATCACAAAGCTAGTGAGTATCATGTGTCTGTGGCTGGATTTGAACTCAGGTCCCCCTGACGCCAGAGCCCATGCTCTATCCACTGTGCCATCCAGCTGCCCCATGCTTCCTCTAATTTCCCATAATGCTTTTTAGGCATGTTACATTTGATGTGTGTTCATCTCTAAATTAATCTCCCTTAATAAACTGTAAACTCCTTAAGTTTCTGAATCATGCTCCTTCATCTTCATTATCATGATACAGCATACTGTATCAGACAACAAGCATTCAATAAAAACCAGTGGAACTGAATGAATTAAATTGGGAAAAATCTCGTCTTTCTAACCCTGCCCACTTGTTCAATTTTTTCTCCTCTACTCCCAGGTACAGAGAATGATTAAAAGATGAAAAGATATGCAAGTGGAGCCTATTGTTTTTGCATTTTGCCCACACAAATTGTATTTTCTTCTCTGGCAACACTCAAGGTAAATCTGCCATGTACAGTCCCGTGCTGAAGAGAGTTGCTTATATACGCCTTTCATAGCTTATATTCATCATAGTTGTTTATATACACCACACATAGGTACTGAAATGCTAGTCAAAAGGACTCTGCACTCTCCTGTGGAAAGAACTCAACTTTTCAAATGTTGAATATATGAAGATAAACTATGGAGCCAACATCAAAAGAATGCATACTTTGAAAATTGCTTTTTTGCAAGAAGTGGTGATGGGTTATCATTTATTCTGTTATTCCTCGTGTGGCATCTGCTTGGCAAAAGAGAAAGAAAGATGCGTTATGTACAAAAAACTTTGTATTCTACTGCTGTTTCTCAAGACAGCACTTGCATTGCTATGTAAACCTCAATGGAAATGTTTTTGCTTTTAAACTCTTTTCCTCTCTAAATTAATTAATAATAAAAAATTTAAAAAATTATTTTCCTCCCAGAGAAATGGTTAACAAAACACTGGAAAAGTAGATGAAAAAATTTTTAAATTTTTAAAATTTACTGCTGAAATACCTATAATTAGTGTAACTTTCTCTTATCACTATGGAACAAGACAAGGCAAAATACTGTTCTCTTAAACATTAACCTGTATTATTTCTGTCATTTGTATCTTATCCTCATTATTTTGTCAGTATTTAATTCAATCGAGAACAGGAGATTTTGCTTAGACTGTCACCCAGAATAAATACACCCACCTAAAACATGAGACTTACATAGTTACAAAAATGCCAGATAAACAAACAATGACTTTAGTATACTTAAAAAAAGAAAGGCAAACACTACATACTGGAGAGTTTGAGCTAAATAAGCTTTGGGCGAACCATTAACACCATTGTTTTTCTGTATCCTTTAAATCTTCTAGTCAAGAAGAAAGCCTGGATTCTTAAAAAGTACACATTAATAATGGCACAAGAGCTAAGAGAGAGCCTACACCAAACCGGAAATGCTTCAAAGACAGGGCTGGTAATACAATGTGTGTCTGCTGAGAGGCTGGGAGTCACAAAAAGTCACAAGTGGTATATGGCGTGTAAAAGGGATTCCAAACCGTGGAAGATGTACACCCAGTCTAGTCAATTTAAACATGTACTATGTGCAAGGCACATAAGTGCTGAGGACACAAAGAAAGGCAAAAGACAGACCCTGCTCTCAAGCTTACAGTCATTAATGGAAGGGAACATGTAAACAAGAATGTACAAACAAGATACAGACAGGATAAATTAGAGATCATCAATGGAGGCAATGAGCTAGCATTAAGAAGTATTTGCATTAAGGAGGCTGGGCAAGGAAAATGTCTACCAAGTGTCAATAACTAAGCTAAATGCTTTACAAACATTATCTCATTTGATTCTCACAACAACCCTGGGAATTAGATGCTATTATTATACCCATTTCACAGAAGAGGAAACTGAGGCAGAGAGCGACTAAGTGATTTGCCCAGAGTCACCCAATTAGTAAGTGTCTGATGCTGGAGTTGAAGTCAGGTCTTCCTGACTCCTGGCCCAATCCACTTCTAGCTTCCTGAAGAAGGTGGGATTTCAACTGGGAAGAAAGCCAGCAAGAAACCACAGATCCTCGATGTGAATGTTATAAGGGCACATCTGGTTCCCCTTCTCAGGGAGATCAAAAACAGCAGCAGCAGTAAGAGTACCCTCATCTGACTAGTAAACTCTGGAAAAGAGGGTTATTTTAAAAATCCTAAATAAAAACTAAAAGGAATGTATCTAGAAGGAGAGGAAATAAATACCAAGAGAAACACCTTTTACTAAATCTCCTTTCACACTCAATACCTGTTGACAGAACTTAAATAAAAGCAATGTATAAAACTTATCACCCAGAAACACTCATAAAGTCTTAATCAGTTAGAAAGAAAGATACTCAACACTCCAACAAGTCACCCCCAAGGCCTTGAGGCAGAACTGGCTGGAACCTTGTGTCTAAGCAGCTCTCCAAGGACAATGGAGGTCCTTGTAAAGCTGATTCTGATGCTGAAGGACAGAGTATGCGCTGCAGGCTCACAGTTCTCAGAGGATTTGCAAACCTCACTTGGACTTGTCAGTCTTCATTATGACTTGAAACTGTTAACCTTACTGATGCACTGGCACAGCTCCATCCTAATATCTCTTAAGAACTAAGATATTTAATAATGCAGCAAGAATTCAGGTTTAGCAGAACTGTTATAAAATGCATATAATGCCTACACATCTGGGTAACTGAAGTAGCAGGAATAGGAGGTGTGAGGATTTTACAAAAAGGTACCCAGAAAAGGGCTGTAGGACCATTTCATTTGCAACTATGCTGACAATGTGCCACGAGGAAAAAGACAACTTTGTGTCTGGGGACCCTGCTTTTTTTGTTTCCTAGTAGCAGAGGTGATCATCTTTTGAAGAGTGATGCAAAATAAGTAAAAACCAATAGTAGCAGTCATGTGCATATAAGAGACATTGCGGAAGGGGGGGAAGAAGGGTTCCTTCTTTTCAGGCCTTAATGTGTTAAATTCCCCTCTCCACTGGGAAAAAAAAATTTTTTTCAGACCAAAATATTTTATCTCATGGTAAAAAATAACTCACAGTGAAAAACAACAGAAGCCTATCTCTGCAGACCCCAGTCCAGAAGATGACTTAAAGGTGATATGATTAGATATCCAAAAAAAATTTTTTTTAAATAGATGGCTACTAAGGCAGCTTCCTATCTTATCACTTATCTCATTCCTTTGAAGCCCTATCAAATCTTTTAAACCACTGGGCAGCGAGGTGGCTCAGTGGATACAGAACTGGCCTGGAGTCAGGAAGACTCATCCTCCTAAATTCAAATCTGGCCTCAGACACACTAGCTGTGTGATCCTGGGCGAGTCCCTTAACCCTGCTGGCCTCAGTTTCTCATCCGTAAAATGAGCTGGAGAAAGAAATAGCAAACCACTCCAGTCTCTTTGTCAAGAAAACCCCAAATGTGGTCACATTTGTCAGACACAACTGCAAAAACAACTGTACAAAACAAAACAACTAAGGACTGCTCTACCTGCAGGCTCTCCTACAATCTGTAAAAGGGTTGGTTGAATTCTAAAAGTCTGAAAGCATTTCCTCACAGATACAATTTTACAAATGATTAACTAAGTTGCCAGACCTACCCCAACAAAAGTCTAAAAACCACAAGAGCACAGAAATGCGCTAATAATACAAGACTTCTACACAACTATGTTTCTACAGAAAATAACAGAAAAGTTCTAACCTGAAGCATGATCTCTTCCCTAAATCCCAGCCATGGAATGGGCAGGAATCAGAGATCGGCTTAAAATCACCAAAGGAACAATGGCCTGAAGGCAATGGCTCCAAAGGGAAGTTAAAGTTAGGGTCCAGGGGAGGGAGTGAAATGAGCTCCAAACTTAGTGTGACCAACCTCCAGGCGACACTTTATTGGACTCCCACTGCCTTGTTCCTAGATTCTCAGAATTGTCCCAAATGCTTCCAGTAGCTTGAAACTAGGATAAGTCAATCAATAAACATTTATTATGTGCCTACTATGGTACCAATTATGGTACCAATACTATGCAAAGCAGTGGGGATGCAAAGAGACAAAAGATAGTCCCTGCCCTCAAGAAGCTCACAATCTAATGGAGGGGAGACAACAGGTAAAGAACTATGTACCAATTACATGAAGAATAAGTAGGAAATGATTAACAGAGGGAAGGTGCTAGTAGTAAGAAGGATGGGGAAGTTTCTTGCAGAAGATGAGATTTTAGTTGGGAATTAAAGGAAGCCAGGGAAGGAAGGCAGTAGGTAGACAGGGGAAGAGAGGGCATTCCAGTCACAGGAGACAACCAGAGAAAATGGCCAGAGCTGAGAGATGGAGCATCTTGTTTGTTCAACAGTGAAGAAGCCAGTATTGATGCCAAACAGAAAATTCTGCATTTGATCCCGGAGTTAGTTGTGGGTGACACCATCGGACCAGCACTTAGGAAAATCACTTTGGGGGGCTGAATAGGGGATAGACTGGACTCGGGAAAGACTTCAGGCAGGCAGACCCACCAATACTCTGGTGTCTAGGGGACTGTTTCCCTGGTCCACTATAGAATAACAATCTCTCATCTTTTCCTGTCCCTTAAGCATGTCCAAAAAAAAAAAAAGAAAAAGAAAAGAAGAGAAAAGAGAAGAAAAAAGACTTAGAAAGTTTTGACTGCTACAAACATGGGCAGTAGGTTTAAAAGGCTCATTTCTACACTTTCCCCTACTTAAACTCCATCCGGAGAGACAAAGTAGTACTAAATAGGAATGATGGGACTATGCATATTCATAATCTCTCACAAAGTACTTAAACTCCAGGATCCTCAGTTTCTTTAGTGATAAAATGAGGGGATTAGACTAAACTGTTCTCAAGTCCCTTTCAGCTCTGACATTAGGGGACTCAAGTAAGATTTGATTTGTCTCCATTTCACAGTGAAATCCAGATTTGGAGTATTTGGGGCTATTTCCTCACGTGAGCTAGGGGTATGCTTGGGGAGGTGGGGAAATCCTTGTTTCCAAGGATTTACCTCCCCTCCCGCTGGTTTCCCCTCCCCACCCCACCTCACCCCAAGCTGCCTATCAATCACACCACAGAACTCTCCTTGAGAATCAAGGGGATTTGCAGCCACAAATTGAAAGGGGAGCCCCCTTAGTAGTGGAAAAGAAAGAGAATTCGAAAAAGAATTCTGTGGTCTCTGAGACAACTGGCTGAGTTTGCTATATCTATATAAGGGATATGAAATCAAGAACCATAGGAGTTGGATAGATAGATAGATAGATTTCGAATTGGAAGGGATCTATGAGATCCTCCAGCCCCACACTCTCATTTCACAAATGAGAAAATGGAGACTCAGAGAGGTTTAAGTGACTTGGCCAAGGTAGTTTAAAGGCAGGATGTAAACCTGACTCCAAAACCAGAGTTCTAAAGGCAGCCAGATGTCACAGTGGATAGAGGGCTGGGCTTGAAGTCAGGTGGGTCTGAGTTCAAAACGGGCCCTTGACACTAGTTGTGTCTGTCTGCCTCATTTAATAGCTTATCTCCCAAGGTAGATAACATATGTAAAGCATGCAAGTGGCAATTAATAAATGCTTCCCCTTCCTCCTTACTATACCACACTGAACACAAAGTAGTCCTATTATATCTGCTTTGTTCCATATGCTCATAATGATGGCACAATTTAGGTTGCAAAACTTTTCATTGATAGAGGTGGTGCAATGGATAGAGCACCAGCTCTAGAGTCAGGAAGACATGAATTCAAAT